CAAAAATCCGCTTCTCGTATCTTACAAAAGAGGACGGTCGCCCAAAGACATACTCGTTAGGGCCAAACTTTGAATAGGCTACTCTAAACACGCGCTGGGGAGTCGTGTAGGCCTGTCAACCCCATTTTACAAAACACAAAATAACTTCCTACTCGTACCCCTCATTAAAGTAATACTTTATCGTTAGCTTTTCGAGATCAAGCTCGATACCGCAGTTGGAACAAAATCGGTTAAGAGATATCGTTGCGCCGCAGTCATCACTGTTCTAGTCGCCATTTTCTTTTCCCCATAATTAAATTCGATGAAACAATACTCGGTCCAGTCTCCCAGATCTTTGGAATTCGGTGTGAGCAATTTGAATTCGGTGTGGAGATTTAGAATTCGGTGTGAGCAATTTGAATTTGGTGTGGGCATTTGGAATTCAGCGTGGAGATTTAGAATTCGGTGTGGAGATTTCGAATTTGGTGTGGAGATTTAGAATTCAGTGTGAGCATTTTGAATTTGTTGTGGGCATTTGGAATTCGGCGTGGAGTTTTGGAATTCGGTGTGGAGATTTAGAATTCGGTGTGATGATTTAGAATTCGGCGTGAGCAATTTGAATTTGGTGTGGGCATTTGGAATTCGGCGTAGAGTTTTTGAATTCGGTGTGCACTTGTGGGCCACCGTACGGGAGCATTGTAAAAGTAGAATCAAACTTCGTCTTATCGCCTTTCTATAGCGGCTTTCACTTGCAACACCTATTACAGTCTCATCAGTGTCAGTTCCAATCGCTCATGACCGCTGAAAGGGAGTAGAGGAACGTGTGACGTTCATGTCATTCCTGTTTAAGAAAGTCTTGTTCCAATGATGTTTCTTTTCGAAGCTTCTTTACGATAAATAGCTAAACGATAAATTAACTAATGGGTAAAATATCGAAGAATCAAATTGGTTTTATAACGATTATGTGGGGTATAACAAAAAAATAGAACAACTTAGGATGGTATGTTTATTTGAAAAGTTATATTTTCCTACGACATCACACAGTGCATGTTTTAAATAAAATTTCATTTTTTGTTATATAAGTATGTAGGTTGCGACAAGTCTTTTACAAGTGACTAATACTATTAAGGATGTGAAGGTGTAGTCTGATCGTCCGGATGAGTGTAGTCCTGAGAAGGACTGTTGTCGGTGGTAGTGACTGACGTTTCGAAAACCTGTGCGGAAGTCATCATCAGAGTCAAGTGAATGATTGTTGTCAGTAGAACCGATAACAGTCCTTCTCAGGACTACACTCACCCGGACGATCAGACTACACCTTCACATGTTACCCCCGGGTTCAAACCATTTACTGCACTATTAAGGATAGCACTTTTTCCCGGCCAGTAGGCGTGTCAATTATAGTGTGTTCTTTAAAACGACGGATATATAAAAGTATATGGAAAGTTATAGTCTTCTAATGCTAGATAAAATACTTTTGAAACATTACAAGAGTGAGGCACCGCATTTGTTTCAATTTTTTAACATCAAAGTAGTCGTGTTTTGTAATCTTCTTTGACGTGGGTTGGCAGACAATTTTTTAAGGAGACAACTGCAAGCCTCAGCGTTAAATTCGTAAATTCTTTCGAGTTTTTGCATGTTGAACCCTTTGCATAGGTGTCCCATGTGGGCTGTCTAAGCTGATTAAAGAGCACGGTGAAGGATAACGAGAGAAACACCCGATAACTCTCGACACTCATCTGAAAATTGCTCCACCACTCCAACATTTTGTTACGTCTTCGCGTCTCCTCCACTAACTCTGCTTATAATTCTTCACACAGATGTGACGGATCCCCATCAAGAATAATTCGTGTCCGTGAGAAATGCTTTTTAGCTTAAATAGGATTAAGTTGCATAACTTTAAGGTAGAAAAAAAGACGGGAAGTGAAAAAATATCATATCCATCTTATGTTCATGAGCAACATACCCTCCCTTTAAATTGCTGGTTCGGTTTCTGAGTGAAACCAATGACTCAAATTTCTGACTATCAAATTGCACCACGTAGAAATTTATATCAAAACTACTGTATTTACATAAAATCTGATTATTTTACAAAGCCTAATTAAGGTAAACTTTTTCCTTGCTAAAGCAGCGAAATCAAAAATTAACAAAGACGATAATTGTCTAGTTTCTTCAGTAATAAAAAATTCTGACTTGAATCACCATATTGTTCGTTTCTCGGCGTGTCTTCATAGGTTTATTGTCGATGTACCCAGGTTCTGATCTGAAAAGTATAAGAGCAATTTAAAGTTTAAATCTAAAATTTTAGAGAATGTTGGTTGATTTTCTAGTAGTAGTGGAAATATTGGTAAAGAGAAGATACACCAGCCGGTAGGAAAGAGGGAAGAAGAAAGAGAGAAAAGCAGGAAGACATAGACGAAGGAGAGAAGGAAGAAGAAAGAGTTAGGAATGAATAGATGGGCATACAGATTTATGAATAAGTAAATAAATAAATAGATAAATAAATCGATGAATTAATAAATGAATGACGAGAAAAACAAATAAATGGCCAATAAAAGGGAAAAACAAAAAAAAAACAAAAATTCAGACCAAAAAAGCATCGCTCCAATTGTAAAAGATTTGAGTAAAATAGGGATGGAAAGGAAAAAAAAGACCATACCTAACAAAAAACTTTCTTTTTCATCTCCCTTACTAGAATCTCGCATTGTTCTGCCCAGTTGTACTTCTGTTTGTAAGATGCCCGCAGTCTCTGCATCTCGTTTAGCCGCTTTTCTCTCTCCTTTTGACGGACACTCTTGATGGCCTTTGACCAGTCTTGGGGTTTATCGGAGTAAACTACATAGTGTTCTCCAAATTCTACCTTCTGCAACGCTTTTGAAAAGCCTGAGTTATAGCCAGCAAGGACAGGCAAACCAGCGGACAAAGCTTCGAGGGCAGTGAGTCCAAATCCTTCTGTTCTTGACGGCATGATAACCAGATCCATACGGCGAAGCAGCTGCTTTAAGAGATTTCTGTCCTCGATATATTCTTCGACAGACAGTTGGTTTTTAGAAATGCCATGTTTGAGAATCTTCGCTGCAACTTCGTCTTGCTTTCCTGGGGCCGCTCCAACAAATGTGAGATGATAGGAATCATTTTTCAGATCATGACTCGCAAATGCCTCAGCAGCAATATCGTAGCCTTTTATTTTGAAGTCCTCGTCATCACCACGCCCAAACATCAGGACTTGAAACACGTCATTCTCCTTTGGCGACTGCTTTACATCAGTTAGATCTTCCATGATTCCCGGTGTAAATTCCACAACATCTTGCTCTTTGTCGCAAGAGCGTAGACGAGTAGAATAGAAACTTTTCAATTTAGGTCCAACTGCCATGACAAGGTCAGCTAATTCACATAAACTAACCTCCCGCTTGTTCTTTTCCTCACCTTGTGCGACAGCTTTCGTATAGTCCTTGTACATACCGAGTTCTGCTGGAGCAGTGTGCACCACTTGGACCCACTTGCATTTGTGAGATTCTCTAATCTTTTGAGCTTGTCGACCGAGCTTCACACCATGACCAATCACAGCATCAATTACAAGGTCTTTCGGTGGAAAAAATAATTCTTCTTGGGGGCTGCATGCCCTAAGTTTCTCTGCCACGACGATAGTGACGCCATGTTTTCCAGCTGCTGTTCTTTCTTCCTCTCCACATTCAGAGCTCAAGACGACAGTGACTTGAACTTGGGAATGTCTTGCTAAATGAATGGCAAGCTCCCTGTTGAAAGTCGACAATCCACCTTTCAGTGACTTCCACTCGTCTGATAAGATTGTGACTTTCAAAACTTCGCTTGAGCAAACACTTGGATCTGTTACTTCAGGTGGTTGCGGAGAGGGAAAAGTTGTGCTGAATTCCGGCCCAACCTGAAATAAAATAACGAGTTAATTATGTAAAAAAAGTTTGTGCTTGTTCATCGGGGTAAAGCAAAATAATACTAAAGTACTATCGCCCGTAGGGCGAGTCAGAACACAAACAACAAGTAAAAATACTCAGTGATACAACACAACAAAACATCTCATATGAGATTTATTATCCATTACGCCAAAATGTTATTTCAGTGTGGGCGAATTTCACGGATAATTATTTCTGGAGTACAAATACCGCGTGATATTTGTACTCGTCTCGCGCGTTATTTGTACTCCACAAAGCACAGTTGGATAATAAATTATGTAAACTAAGAACTAACTATTAAGTTCCCTAGTGATTCTATTAGGGTGTGCATTCGTGACCAACCAGTTCACACCCTAGATTTCTAACAGTCGACTGGTTCACAGGCAGCCCAAGCTCACTACTAGAAAAGCGGAAGTGACTCTTGTTTTGNCATTCCTTGATATAAGTTTACCATATTACGACTCTTCAATATTCTCCCATACATTTCTTTATATTTTGAACAAACGACCAGACACGCTGCTTGTGTGGATCCTCTGTGGAGTCACGTCCGCTTTCTACCAGTGAGCTTGGGCTGCCTGAGTTGTGGCAGGCGTTTTTCAGCTCATGACCTCATCAAAATCAAATGGTCATTTATCATCATTCACTTTTTCGTCGGAGACAAATTTGATAGAAAGTGATTTTCAACATAAACTAACAAAGGGCAATGTTCAGTTAAGAACATAACACCTGACATAACTTCGATTAAGTCTTATCGTTTGATTCATTAGTAAGGTAAGATCTGGAAGGACATATTTCATATTTCATCGAAAACTAAGGACATCTAAAAGATCGATTGATTTTTCCAACTTCTTGTAGCTATTTTCTGTAATATTTCAGAACGTTCCTTTTTTTACCTGATCTTCCCTTTGCTCACGCATGGCTATCTGCGGTGTGGAGGGAAAGTTGCTGAGGGAAGAGCTCTGCAACAGAGATACTCAATTTCTAAGAAAAAATATTTTATCCGACATTTACATCTATCAATTTTTTTAGCCTTGTCACTAGAAAACCGTTGACATTTCAGTTCAATTGGCCCTCTAAGGATATACGTTACGCCCTATGCCTTGACCAAGCTAGGGCCCCTTACAGCCAATGAGACGTTAGAGAAAATACGATGGAATGGTTGTCGGTCATTTTGAAAGAAAATTACTTAACAGCCATTTACACCGGCGATTTTTGCTGCGGCTCTGAGTGCAATTTCTGCTGCCATTTTTTCCGTGATTTCACGAGGACAGTGTGTTGTAGCGTCTTCCATTTATTTTCACTGACAATCTGCAAAACTCAGGCGGCAGCTATCTCTCTGACTTGATGTCCCTCCAAAAGAGTTGGGTAGCTCTGCCGGTGGCTATTTGAGCCTTACTTAACCTAGCCAGTAAAAAATAGTTGCGACGATAGAAGGGAACGATAATTTAGAAAAGAAGAACAGTAAAGGAGTTAATTGAGAAAGATAACTTCATCTTCTGCGATGCTTTCTAGTCACGCACTTTGCCAAAGCGAGGAGTGTAAAACCGTCATACATGGATGGGGGTACTTTTAAGCGGTTGATTCCTAAGAGTTACGGAGCCGAAGGGAAAAAGCTTTAAAAGTTAGTTTCCGAAACTGCTCCTAATCAATATTTACTTCGGCCAGATCAATTTTTTTAATTTCGTATACGACATACCTGATGTGATGAGGCTGGAATGATATGCAGCTTGCACAAAGTTTCCCTTGCAAGCTGATATTGCTCCATTTTGTACAACTCTACTTGCAGGTTACTGAGTTCGCTAATGCATACATCTAGACTTTCTTGAAAAGGTTCAGTTCCGAGAAACCTGACACAAACAAATTAAACAAAGATACAATACTAGAGATTTCTTTTTGTTTAGGCAAACCATGTTTCTCATTACGCTTATGCTCGAAGATGGCGGAACAGTGCAATTTAGCTTGACTGAGCAAAAATTCAGTAATAAACTAACCTCAAGAAGAAGTTGTCTAGATTTCCTTCTTGAGTCACAGTAAATGCTTCGGAAAGAGACACAAACATT